GTTCCTTTTAGACTTTGTGAGTTGAGAGTGCGTGTTTACTTACCTGTAATACATAAGACACATCCACCAAGAGCAGACCAAGCCTGTTTGCTATTCTTGTTAAAGAACAAAACAATGTAAAACGGGTTTAATGCTCTTATGACAGTGATGTCGTACTTCAACAGATTGTAGATTCCAATAGCACCAAGAGAGAAAAACCAGAGCGCGAGAACTGGAGCAAATAGGAAACCCACTTTACCAGTCCCAAACCGTTGTATGCTGAACAAAGCCACGAGGATCACAATTGAAGATATAACCAATGCATCTGACAACAACACACACCAAGGTGAAAATGACATCAAGACGCTATTGCTTGGTATACAGAGAGAAATCATGTGATAGTGGATACCAACCTGTTCCAAATCCTTCAACTTCACCCTGTAAACCACTCATTGCGGACATCACTACATTAAAATCAAAAGGAAGATCACACTTCAAATATAGACCAGACCACTTCTTAGTTGATCAAATCTCAACTGTAAATGATTTAAAAGTTACACTAGTTTTTAAATCCAAATCTTCTATTGCAACAAATACAGTATAATACAAATCAGACTCACCTGACATAGCTGGTGTCAGAATCCCATCGCCAATAATCATGGAAGTTCCCATTAGGACTAAGAGCAGAAGAAGAGTTTTCAAATACCCTTTAGTCTCTAAAGCTTCTTTGATGCCCAGAGCTCTTTCCAACTCAGGAGTTGGGAGTTTAAGCCTAAAACTAGAGATCTGCTCATCTGCAGGTTGTTGATTTGGCAGCTTATTCACCTTTGCATACCTACATATAAGCGAATACAATGCAAATGTCCCTCCTGCACACATACACACATATACATTGAGAAACCACATAAACTCCACTTTACTAAAAACATCAATTTGGATGCATTACCTTCACCATTGTCGTTGGCTTTAAGGACTACAAAGACATACTTTGCCAAAGGAATCACAGCAATAGTGTAGATGACTAGAGACAAGGCACCAAGAACATCAACTTCTGATTTGATAGGAACTTTACTGAAAACATCACTGAACACATACAAAGGGCTTGTCCCCATATCACCATAAACAACACCTAAAGTCTGAAACGCTATCCCAAGTGTACCCAAAAGTGATAAATCCTAAACAGAACAAAAAAAATTCCATTTTTTCAAATGTCAATATCACAAACACCAAAAGGGCAGTCATAAAAATCAAAACTTGATTCAAACCTTGAGGTTGTGACCATGAGCACCTGCAATTTCCATGGCTTCAACATCAAGAGAATCAGCTCTTTTAGGCTTTTTCATTAGCCTCCTCCTCAAATTCCCAAAACTGTAATCTCTATCTCTGATTTCAGAAAACAACGGCGTTTCAGAGTCCACCTCGCTTCCATCAACCCATCTCCGGTCACTGCTTCCGGTACCAACACGTCTGAGGCTGGTGTTGCTACTTGCTTCTTCAATTTCCTCCATTCTTTGAGAATCCTCCTTCCAAACTAGAAGCAGAGAAATCAACAACAAGAATTAAAGAACTCTATTTTAAAAGATTTTAGTTTTGGTTGGAGGAAAAATTAGCAGACATTGGATTGGTTGAGTGTGACTTCACTGACATTATCTCATGGGTGTAACATGTTTAGTACTATTATTGTGAAGAAGAAACGTACAAAGCTCTAAATTATTTGAATTTCTTTGTTAATAAGTTATTACAACTCCTAAAGTTTCTAAATAAAAAATGGTATTTGTTTTCTCGATTCTGTATCCTCTCAAAACATTATCCATTTGTTTTGGAGTATAATAAAAAAACATGAATCTCTCTCTACAAAACAAAACAAAACTGGTAAGTAAGATATTTTATAGCGATATTATCTCTTAAACTGAAAATTTTCAAAAGCCCATTTAGGTCGGTGAAAGGCCCATTTAAAATAGGCCCATGCCGACTTCGAATCTCAACTATTTTTTTCTTAAGACTAGTGACTGTTGTCTTTCATCTTCTTCTTCAAATTTCTTCTCCAATTTTGGTTTCTTCTTCGATTCAGGTACCTTTGATTTTTTTTCCTCGTTTCTTTAATTGGGTGTATCCCAAGCTTTGTCTATAAATTAGGGTTTATTCCGATTCAACGATTTCGTCTTGGTTTAATACGCAGGTGAGAAAACAGTGAGGCTTGTGCGTTCCGAGTAGAAAGATTATGGTAAGCGTTTCTTTATTCTTCACCGAATCGGTTTTTCACTTATTCGAGAGATGTTTTTGTTAATTTTGATTTGAATGTCAAATTTTTGATTTTTTGGTTTTAGGGTTTCTGAGTAGTAGTTAGATATTTGCTTTTCTTGTTTCTCTTTGTTTGAGCCCTCTCTGCTATGTTTTTTGTTATATGAGAGTAAGCTTGGACTTTGCTAACTAAATATGTTGGATCTGTTGTTGTAGGCAACTCTTGAAGATTCGTTCCTTGCTGATCTTGACGAGTTATCTGACAATGAAGCAGAATTGGTGAGTTTGGGTTTCATTTTGATAACTCTTTATCTGTTTCCGTAGTTTTGTTTTGATATTTACGTGGTGGAGCTATGGTTTTAATTGTAGTTTGGTCGGTTATTCATATTCAGGACGAGAATGATGGTGATGATGGAAAGGAGGAAGAAGATATTGATATGGACATGGCGGATTTAGAGTCCCTTAACTATGATGATCTCGACACTGTTTCGAAGCTGCAGAAAAGCCAGAGATATATTGATATAATGCAGAAAGTAGAGGAGGCTCTTGGAAAGGATTCTGATGGAGCTGAGAAAGGAATTGTTTTAGAAGATGATCCTGAGTACAAGCTTATTGTGGACTGCAATCAGCTCTCTGTTGATATTGAGAATGAAATCGCCATTGTCCACAGCTTTATACGGGACAAGTACAAGCTTAAATTTCAAGAGCTTGAGTCGCTGGTTCATCACCCAATCGATTATGCCCGTGTTGTGAAAAAGATTGGCAATGAGACGGATTTAACTCTTGTTGATCTTGAAGGCCTTCTTCCTTCTGCTATTATAATGGTTGTTTCAGTTACTGCTTTAACTACGAAAGGGAGCCCACTACCAGAGGATGTCCTGCAAAAGGTGTTAGAGGCTTGTGATCGGGCTCTAGATCTTGATTCTGCACGGAAGAAGGTCTTTGACTTTGTTGAAAGTAAGATGGGGTCTATCGCACCAAATCTTTCCGCCATTGTTGGGAGTGCTGTTGCAGCCAAGCTCATGGGGACTGCTGGAGGTTTGTCAGCACTTGCTAAAATGCCTGCCTGTAATGTTCAAGTTCTTGGCCACAAGAGGAAGAACCTTGCTGGGTTCTCTTCTGCAACATCACAGACCCGTGTGGGTTATCTGGAGCAGACAGAGATTTTCCAAAGCACACCTCCTGGACTTCGGGCTCGCGCTAGCAGGCTCGTGGCTGCAAAATCAACTTTGGCAGCAAGAGTTGATGCTACTAGAGGGGACCCGTTGGGGAAAAATGGAAAAGCTTTGAGGGAAGAGATCCGTAAGAAGATTGAGAAGTGGCAAGAACCTCCCCCTGCAAGGCAGCCTAAGCCACTTCCTGTTCCTGACTCTGAGCCAAAGAAAAGAAGGGGTGGTCGCCGTCTAAGGAAAATGAAAGAAAGGTAGCATTCTTCATCCTACTTTGTGTCCTCAATTAGTCTAGATGGAATTCTACTACTTATTGTATTCTTACCATTTTCTTTAATCAGGTATGCAGTGACAGATATGAGGAAGCTGGCCAACAGGATGGCGTTTGGTACACCCGAAGAGAGCTCCCTTGGTAAAATACCTTGTACTTTTTACTTGTTGTTAACAGCCACTAAAGGCACTACTAATCTAATATCTGTTCTTCACGATGGCAGGTGATGGTCTCGGTGAAGGCTATGGAATGCTTGGCCAGGCAGGAAGCAACAGGCTGCGAGTATCCAGTGTTCCAAGCAAGCTGAAAATTAATGCTAAGGTCGCCAAAAAGTAAGTTTCTTCTATTTCTCCTGTGTTTTACCCCATTATTTATGTTAATATTCTTACCCTGTAGATTAATCTTTACTGATCCTGCTCTGTTCTTCCATAATATCTCCTGTGCGTCCTCATTCGATCAATGGCTTTTTTCAGGCTCAAAGAACGACAGTATGCAGGTGGTGCAACTACCTCTGGTTTGACATCAAGCCTGGCTTTCACTCCTGTGCAGGTACAAACATATCATTCGATTCCTGATAAATGTTGTTATATATTGTGATCCATTTGCATTGCTGTCTGACTCCAAATGTTTATATATTTGACAGGGAATAGAGTTGTGCAATCCTCAGCAGGCTCTAGGATTAGGCAGTGGGACTCAAAGCACTTACTTCTCAGAGTCAGGAACCTTTTCCAAGCTCAAGAAGATTTAGATTTTTCAAGACAGAAAGACAAGTTTTCAAGTGTTGAAAAGCCAAGCACGACGTACTCTTGGGATTTTATCTTGGAAGATGGAATGTAAATGAATGAAACGGAAAAAGGAAAAGGTAGAATGGTGTTACAATTGCTTTCTATTTCTCTCTTCTGTTTTAAGGTCTCTTCTCTCTTTTGTCACTAAATGAGACGCAAAAAAAAAATAACACTGTTTTGACTTTTGATGTGGAGTCTCGGCGGAATCACTTTTGTTGCTTGCACAACTAATGCCTTTTTGAAGTTAAACAGTTTCATTAGTTTTATCTCGTCTTACCTAAAGATCCATATCCATCTTCTTGTTACCATTTTTCAAACTAAAAAGTAAAAAGCTTCTTTAAGCTCATGTATCAGCCACATGATTTACACAGGCCATCGCAACTCTTCAAATGTAATCAGTTCCCTTAAAACTCCCCCGAACCTACGAGCTCTCTGGTTCGTTATAATTAGAATTGGAAACTTAACATTGCAAATAATTAGATCTTTCCTCATATTATTCGACAAATGTGATGACTATTTCCTGATTAATCTTGCAAATAAAAGAGTTTACTAATATCACCATCCTGGCATAACCTTAGAAGTTGCCGGTTCGAGTAGCATTTGGGACGATACTATATAACATGATATGGTTTCAAGTTTAAGGGAATGTATGTGTTTCGGACCAGAACTTACCGTACACGGTGTACGGCGTGGTTGAGAGTACAATGGAGACATCATTGTTGTGAGAAAGTGTTTGCACCAACTCTTCAAAGTTAAAGCTATGGCAACGTTCGTTTAACAGTACAACCATCTTGTCCAATGTCTTTGTGTTTTTAAGCACAAGTTTCACAAATGAAGCCACGTGATCTGACTCTAAATCGAAAGGGTATCTATTCCAAAAGACTCCATCATTTGATCTCCAACATTGATCCGGTTTCATGCGTTCCCAGCGCAAGTAGTCGTCAAGAGAAACACCCTACGCAACAGAAACAAAAAACATGGTTATTGGAACTCAATGATAGTTATATTAGAAAGGAGGCCAAGGCAATTAAAAGAAGTTTATTGCATATGCATGTACCGATATGATATGGTGGTACTCATCTCTTGCATGAACTGTCAACATCTTTAAAACAGGTGAGTTTTGTAAAAGTCTTTGTATACCAGGAATCACATACTGATATATCTCTGTCTCAAGAGTCAAAGCTTTTATCTTGAACATCGGAAAAGTTACACCAGAAACCTCCGCAAGAGATAAAATCTAACATAACAAGAGATGGTGAACATTAAGTAAGAGAGTTGTAGACATTAGCTAGAGAGATAATGCAAGAATATGACATACCAGAAGAAAGTTTCCCCCAAAGGTAAGCTTCTCTGCATTCTCCAACTTCTTTAACATTTCAGGCACTATGTAATGAGTTAATACATACATTATGGGGCTGTCTTGTACTCCAGTCTCCACTATAGCTTCAGTTAAAGACGAGACATCAACTAAAGTAATTAATGGTGACTGAAAATTTCGCAATGTGAGACAATGGATATGTGGTGCCACAATCTCCATTTTTCGGCCATACACACTTAAATCTAATGTTCTAAGGCGCAGCAATTTGCTGAAATCAAGAAACTTAAGTGGATATAAAAGGATCAGTGTCAAGCTTTCGAGAATCGGACAACCAGATAGAATCTTATCAAAGGATTCTTGGTAGAGGAAACAGTCACGCAAGGACAACTTCTTTAGGGATGTCCAAGATACGGAGGATTTGGGAGTCATATAAGAATATGGTAACTTAAGGATGAGTTCCTTTATAGATGAACTGATGTAGAATGAATCAGGCAACTTATAACCACGAGTATTACCGACACAGACGGATAGATTCTCCACGTTTCGTGACATGGCGAACTCGAACCACCTGTCCATGTCGGGAAAAGTGTTTCTCTTGAGGAATTTCAGATGAAACTTGATCATCTTGGGAGCTGTGTAGTGAGTTAGGGTTTCGTTTATCCCATCAGCATGCAGTTTCTTATCATCCAAGGAGAGACCAGGTGTATCGGACCACACGTGCCTCCATCGTTTTGACAAGACAGAAGTACTGATAGCGAGTTTCGTCGGAACTAAGAAAAGGATATCTTGGAGTATCGCATCAGGTAGAGAGCTGATTAAGTCCATCATAATATGTCGATATGATCGTTGCGGCGTGTAGCTAGTTTGCCATATATATTACTTTTACCAATTTACTTAATTAGGGTTTTACTTAATTAGGGTTTTACTTAATTAGGGTTTTGTTTAAGGATGACAAAATGAGTCTTATGTGTAGGTCAAAAAGAGTAGATGAATTCATAAAAACCAAACCAACATATATTAATTAATCGATTTTCAAAACCATGTAAAACCAAAAATAATCTCAATTTACATGTAATATATATATGGCAAACTATATAATGATGATCATACCCTATGATTAGTTCACAAAGAAAAAAACAAACCTAACTCATATTAATCAATTCTAAACACCAAAAATAATCACAATATGCATACATATATCACCATTATGTAATAGTGGGGTTCAGATACGATAGGATGTGAGTAAAATAAAGAAAATAACACTATGTTATATTGAGGTTCCATGTAAATGTATGTATTCTCATTAAGACTATAGAAAAATAAACCCTATAATTCATCACCACTCATATAATTAATGTGCCATTATGCATGGTTGAGAGCACAATAATGGAAACAGTATTGTTCTGAGGAAGTGTTTGAACCAATTCTTCAAACTTAAAATTATGGTAACTTCGGTAAAACTGTGGAACCATCTTGTCTATTGTCATTGCGTTTTTAAGCACAAGTTCCACAAATGAAGCCACGAGCTTTGTGTCTAAACCCGAAGAAAATCTGTTCCAAAAGACTCCATCCTTTGGTTTCCAACGTTGATCCAGATTGAAGTCTTGCAAGTCCAAGTAGTTGTCATATTCACTGTCCTATGAAAAAGAGAAAAAAAAAAAAAAAAAACATGATTCTTGGATTACTTGAACTCAATGATAGTTAAAAAGGGGGGCCAAGGAAAATAAAAGAAGTTTTATGGTAAATATATGAACCACTGACTTGTAGAGCCCCCTTGCATGAACTGTCACCATCTTTAAACCAAGAGAGTTTTGTAAAAGTCTTTGTATACCAGGAATAGCATACTGATAGATCTCTGTCTCAAGAGTCAAAGCTTTTATCTTCAACATCGGAAAAGTTACACCACAAACCTCGGCAATAGATAAAAGCTAACATAAGAGATAGTGAACACCAAAACACACATATTAATTAGTACACGCGTGTTGACTTGCAACCAATATAAGTAAGTAAGAGAGTTGATGAAGACATATATATAATAGAATGCAAGAATGGTCCCAAAACATACCCGAATAATGTTGCACCCAAAAGTAAGCATTTTGCAACTTCTCTAGCATTTTAAGAATGGCTTGAAGAAAATCAGACTCCAAGATCTCTTGCAATGAGTGAACGGAAACGTCCACGTTAGCTTCAGTTAAAGATGACACATCAACAAAAATTGGTGACTTATAGTATCTCAATCTAAGATGATGTATATGTGGTGCCACAATGTGGCTTGGCTCCGGCACCCTAAACCTAATGTCGTTGATTACTTCTAATGTTGTCAGGCGCAGCGATTTGCTGAGATCAAGAACCTTAAGTTTGTGGCAGTCAAACAATGCTAAGCTTTCAAGAATCGGACAACCACATAGAATCATAGCAATGGATTCATCAGAGAGGATACAATTACGCAAGGACAACTTCTCTAGGGATGTCCAAGATACAGAACATCGTCTGGGAATCATATTAACACAAAGTATCTGAAAGCTGAGTTGCTTGATAGATGAATTAATGTAGAAGAAATCAGGAATCTTGTAACCATCAACAAAACCGAAACTGAGGGATAGATTCTCCACGCTGCGGTGCATGGAGAACTGGATCCACCTGTCGACGTCGGCAGCAGTGGGATTGATCATGTTGGTTTTGAGATGAAACTTGATCATCTTGGGAGCTGTGTATCGAGTTAGGGTTTCGTTTATCCAAGCAGCATGCACTACTCTCCTACGATAAGTACCAGTATCGTCATCAAAGGAAAGAGAAGGTGTATCGGACCATACATGCCTCCATCGTCTTGACAAGACAGAAGTTGAGATGGCGAGTTGCGTCGGAACATAGATGAGGATATGTTGGAGGATCGCATTAGGCAAAGAGCTGATTAAGTCAACATTCCGGCGATGATCACCACCACGGCACCACGACTATCGTTACAGTGGCTAGGAAGACTTGAAGCGGCTGCTTTTTTTGTTGACAAAAAAAATTAAAAATTAAAAAAATAGGGTTTTGTGCAAATAAACTTGAAAGCGTCAATTTTTGCAATTCTACCTTTTATATCCAAGAAATGCAAAACAATCATACTAAATCAAGAATATTAAGCAATACAGCCCTTATTCATGATAAATTTATTTTTTAAACAATTTTACGGTTGAATACATTTATTTTTAAAAATTCTAAAGTTATATTTGAACTTTTTAATTTTATATATTATTCTAAAAGTTTTACAAACATAATAGTAGCAGAAACATGCTATATTACATATTTATTTTAACTTTATAATATTAATTTGTATTTTCTGGATTTGGATGGTAAAATTGCAAAAAATGGTAATTTAGAAGGTTTATTTACACAAAATTCTAAAAAGTAAGATAAACATGATCTTTGGTTTAAGGAAAATTAGATGATGTCGAGTGGGCTCCCGTACATAGAGATTTTTTTAGAAAATATATTAGATTAGATCAAATGCGATATATATATATTTTTAAAAAGAAAAATTATAAAAAAAAATTAAGATGGGTCCTCTAAATTATTATAAGTTTGATTTTTTAATGGAAAACACTGCACCGTCCATTGTTTCTTGAAAACTCTAATCTGACCCCAAAAAAACGAAAAAGAATAAAGAAAAGAAAAGAGAAAGAAAGATGACTCTAGATAAACTCTGTAGCACAATCGTTTCAAGTCTAAAACCAATGAACACAAACTATCCACAAAGGAACATGTTCTGTTAGTCGCATATTTATTTTATATTAAAAAAACAACGATCCCTAATCCAGTTCACTAGTTACGTTGGTCTTAACAACAAAAATAATTATAAAAGAAAATAATTCTTCAAGAACCTTCATCCTAATAAACATTCTCAAAGTCTCCTCTAAATTATTGGATCCATCAATCATCATCATAGAAATTTCGTGTTTTACTAAACTAAAGCAATATTACTATAATAATTGAATTTATAGGAAAACAAAAATATCAGAAACATCATAGAAACTGTCGGCTACCTCGTCCCATGCACGGTACGACAAACTTTGGTCCCTCCTCACACTTCATCGCCACGCTATACCACGTGGCACATTCACAACCCTTAAAAATTTATCAAACGAATCATACATCTTCACGTGTCACAAACTCCAATACCACGTGGCAATTTCAGACCCCAGGATTCTCAACGAGTCAAACCTCTTCACGTGTCGCAAACTTGTAGAACGTTCAAACATCTCACTCACATACAAAGTGTATATATTTATCTTCACAACGCAAACCATAAAACACATAAACCTCAAAAGATAAGACTTTGAAAAAAACTCTCTTATCTAAATGATTAATACACAAACCGCGTCGGCTCGTCGGATTCTGACTTTTCCGGCGGTGAATCCATGCGAATCCATCTCTCTACCCACACTCCTCGACTCACTACTACATATCGCCGGCGAGATTCTCAGCTTCAAATCAAAACACTTCTCAACAAACAAAAGAAGTGTTAAAGAAACTCTCCGACATATACAATCTCTTGTCATCTTCTTGGAAGAGCTCCGCGTTCAAATCCGGGTCGGATCAATATCAGCGGGTCGTCGTTCGGTAATCTTGAGCCTTTCGGAGCTTCATGTCATCTTCCAGAAACTCAAGTTCCTTTTAGAAGACTGTACACGAGATGGAGCTAAGCTGTTTATGTTGGTAAACTCAGGTCAAGTCTCAGCTCATTTCCGTGTCTTGATCCGATCTATATCAACTAGCCTCGACACGTTTCCACTCGGGTCTGTTGAGTTACCTGGAGAAGTCAATGAGCTTATCTATCTAGTCATGCGTCAGACTCGTAAATCCGAAGCAAGACCTGACAGAGACGACAAACTCGCTATAGACTCTGTTTATTGGTTCTTTAATCTGTTTGAGAACAGAATCAACCCGAACTCGGATGAGATACTCCGAGTTCTTGATCACATTGGTGTCAAGAAATGGAGAGATTGTGTCAAAGAGATTGACTTTTTACGAGAAGAGATCTCCGTGGAGAAGAAGAGTAACATCGAAATCGAGCTTCTCAGTAGCTTAATGGGATTCATATGCTATTGTAGATGTGTGATACTTCGAAGCATTGATGTTGATGATGAAGTTGAGAAAGAAGAAGACGAAGAAGAGGATTTGATGATGATTCGTGGTTTAAACATTGATGATCTTCGTTGTCCAATTTCTCTCGAGATCATGAGTGATCCAGTGGTTTTGGAAACAGGACACACGTATGACCGGAGCTCAATCGCGAAGTGGTTCTCCTCCGGTAACATCACGTGCCCTAAGACTGGTAAGAACCTGACTAGTACTGTGTTGGTTGATAACTTCTCCATCAAGCAAGTGATTCAAAGCTACTGCAAGCAAAACGGTGTAGTTTCGGGTCAAAAGGGGAAGAAGAAAGTGGTTGTGGCGGAGAGTTTAGCGGCGGAAGAAGCTGCGAAACTCACCGCGGAGTTCCTCGCCGATGAATTGATCAATGGAGACGAGGAACAGATGGTTAAAGCATTAGTGGAGATTCGGATTCTCACAAAGACGAGTAGTTTCAACAGATCTTGCTTGGTGGAAGCTGGAGCTGTGGACTCGTTGATGAAGATTCTTCGTTCTGAAGATCCGAGGATTCAAGAGAACGCCATGGCTGGGATTATGAATTTGTCGAAAGATACCGCCGGAAAAAATCGAATCGCCGGAGACGACGGTGGTGGATTAAGGCTGATCGTGGAGGTTTTAAACGACGGTGCGAGAAGAGAGAGTAGGCAATACGCAGCGGCTGCGTTGTTCTATCTATCTTCTCTCGGAGATTACAGCAGATTGATCGGAGAGATCTCAGATTCGATTCCAGGATTGGTGAGAATCGTTAAGAGTTGTGATTTTGGCGATTCGGCGAAACGCAACGCGTTAATCGCGATTCGGAGTTTGTTGATAAACCAACCTGAGAATCACTGGCGTGTTCTCGCCGCCGGATCTGTTCCCGTTCTCCTCGATCTTTTAAAATCCGGTGAGGTCAGCGACGGAGTCACGGCGGATTCGATGGCGATTCTAGCGAAAATGGCGGAATATCCAGACGGGATGATATCCGTTCTACGTCGTGGAGGATTGAAGCTCGCGGTGAAGATTTTGGGTTCGTCGGAGGTAACGCCGGCGACGAAGCAGCACTGTGTTGCTCTGCTTTTGAATCTGTGTCACAACGGAGGAAGTGACGTCGTCGGGTCTTTGGCTAAGAATCCGTCTGTTATGGGGTCGCTTTACACGGCGTCAAGTAACGGCGAGTTTGGAAGTGGGAAAAAGGCGAGCGCGCTTATTAAATTGATACACGAGTTTCAAGAGAGGAAAACCGGTACGGTTGAACCGGTTTTAGAAAGAGACCGGTTCATACACGCCTGGTAAATTGGTATTTTGGCTCATACATACACACACACAGAGCAGTAGTAACTCTTTGAGCTTTTTTAATCGAAGGGTTAAAATGTAAACTTATTTTTTTTATATAGATTAAGGATACGTTTTATATTTATAAGTACATAATTTTTAAAGCTTAAACCTGTATATTTTAGCTCTGGGAGTTTTTTATAACCCAAAGAGCCTAAATAGGCTAATACTAATGTAATCAGTTTCTTCTCTGCTTAATAATGGCAATGTCTACTGTAGTTATGGTATCAACATCTGGAAATAAACTGAAATAATACAAGTCCTTGTAGTTGTTATCATATATATTCACTTTTCTTTTAAATAAAAAATCATAGTATACCTTAATTTAGAGAAATAACCATTGCACTCTGTAGTCTAAAACACAAACCAAATACTTGTTTTATAAACAAACACTATCTTAATTTACAATTTATAACGATTCCTCCAGTAAATCCTTCAATAATGATTGAGAAGACAGCGCCATCATAGAAAAATCTTAATTTTAAAAATAAAGAGTAAGGACAAAGATAGATTTAAAGTTTAAACTAGTGGTGCAAATGTTTATTCTGTGAACTAGAATGTATATCTTGTTTCTTCTTGTTTCAATCTCTTCTTTTGCATTAAGCTTGTAAACATGGCGATTCTTTTTTAAAATCCAAACACAAGGGGACTTCGAAAAATTTTGGATATGAAGCAACATTGGAAGAAAAATCATTAAATAAAAGTTTCAGGCTTTGGATTTTACCGGGACTCCAGCTTCGACCCGCTTGATCTCAAAGATGAGCATTCTCCACATCTTCAGCACAAACATCTCAGCTTCTTCGTCAAGAATCGACTGCAACAGCTCAAGCATATGAGACGCTTTCACATGTTGTTGAGTGTTTGACACGATGAAATCCACAAGTGTGGCTTCCTCTTCTCCAAGAAACTCCATGATTTTCTTTGATATCCACGGCCTCATTCTTTCGTGCAATTGGTGCTATTCAAATATAGAAAAAGGGGAAAACATGTGAGCACCAAAACAAACTCACAAGCAAGGCAACAAGTAATCATAAGGGATCACTGATCTTAGTAAAAGTGGAATGGAGATATGAGTTTTAGAGCAGCTTACCTTGTCATACATAGCCCAGTTTATCTCGTATGAGAATAAGTCTTCCTTTGTCTTTGGGATCGTATCTATCAATTGCTTTGCATCCAGAAACTTGTTATCAGGTATCTTTGCTTTTCCAGGCTCTTTAGCGTCTTTGGTTGGACCACTATGCCCATCACCTCGGTCCCTGACTCTGTCTCTATCCCTTTCCCTTTCCCTTTCCCTTTCCCTGTCTCTGTCCCGGTGGCTTCCCTTATCATGAGAACGTCTACTCCTTTGTTTTTCGGTTTCTGTTGTTTCCTCCTTGGGATTAGTACTCGAAATTCGTTTTGCAAATTCAGCAGCTAAAGCCAAATGAGGAGGTGTATTCCCCGAGCCACCATGGGCCACGGCCTCCTGTTCCTCGGTTGAGTAATCTATAGGAACCAAAGGTTTCATCTTTTTATCTTTATGAGCTTCGTCTTCATCCTCCTCATAGAAAACAGAAGGCACAGATGTCCGCTTTCCAGATCCCACAAGCCCAAATCCTAATTTTTTTGAGGGAGCATTTGCTTCTGATCCACTATTATTATCAATAGACATGGATTCATTACCAGAACCGTTTTGTTCAAAATCTGCAATTGGCAAACAAAGCCATTAGACAGAGAGTCAGAGAAGCAGGAGAAAGACGATAATGAAGATCACACGAGAGAATAAAAATCCTTTACCTGCTGCATGGTGCTCATGGACAGATTCACTGACAGTTTGGAGAGTTGCCTTATGATTGTTTTCAATAGGTGATGTCTGAACTGTTTCGCTTCCAATAGCTGCCTGTCCAGATAGGAGCCTTAAGGCATCTAATTGCTGTTGCTGCAACTTTTGCTCCTCGGCACTCCTCTTCGCCTCAGCAACCTCTTCCTCTTCTTTCAGTCGATCGGCTAAGTCATCCTCCTTTTCTCTTTGACGCCGTTTTCTTCTCTCATCTAATGCAGCCCTATGCCATCTTCTTCTTGAATCATCATCGTCTTCATCCTCCTCTTCCTCATAGCGGATTTCCTTTTTCCTCTTACGCTCTTTATCTTTCTCTTTCTCCTTCTCGTACTGTCGTTCCTTCTCCTTTTCCCTTTCTTGGCGTTCCCATTGTCGAAGACGAGCCTGGTAAGCACGCTCTGCATCCTCAAGTTTCCTCCTTTGCTCTCTCTCTTTCCTTGTCCGTTCTCGCTCAGCCTCCCTCTCGTATCTATCCATTTCTTGCTCCTTTTCACTTCTTTCTCTGCTTCTTCGGTCATTTCTTTTATTCCAATCAGGTGAGTTTGTGTCAGGCCTATTGTGTTCTCCAGAAGTCTCAACATCATTTGCTGCCGCATCTACATGAAAAAAAATATAACCTATATTAAAAAGAAATTAGAAAATGGCAGCCGAATTAAGGACAAAGAGTAGTGGAGGTAAAAACAGACCACTCCTAGCTATGTCAGTGTTGGAGTCACCATCCTTAGATTTGAAAGCAAGTTCCATGCCTGAACCATCAGCAGGTGGTGGTGGGGGTGGTGGAGGCAGAGGGTTGGACTTTAACCTTTCTTCAATAGCACTTTCAATTTTTTCCATAGCCTCTTTGTCCGCTTCCCTTTCATCGTCAGTTATGACAGCAGAATTCGCAATATCGATGTTTTCTTTACTCTTTTGTTCTCCATCTTTCCCTGTCTCATTTTCAGCACTCTCAAGCTTTTTTCGCTCACTCTCAGGACCTTCAGCTTGGTTCTCTTCTGTTCCTACGGCTTGACTTTCCTTCGCCTTCTTTGCAGTCTCTATTTTCTTCTCAACATATTTGAGCAAATATTCCTTTGTTGCTTGATTAACATTCACCTACAGACCATATAGAAAAAAATGAGAATGAATTTAAAATGTACCGTAAAAGTAAATTAGTATTTTGGTTGATACATACAAATATTTGCTTGGAGAAACATACAAATATTTCGAAATCTGATGTTTACTCCACACTTACCAAAAGTTCTTGTCCATCTATAGTACGTTTGGTCAGCAGGCGTATTGCACGGAGAATCCCTTCAGCTGATTCAAATTCATAGAATCCAAAACCTTTAGGTTTCTTGGTGGTAGGATCTTCCGCACGTAAACAGCCTTTGACATGGCCACAAAACTGCAGGAAAAAAATGAAATCTCAATTCTTATAAAAATGTGTAGCAAAAGAGATGGACGTAAATGACTCGAACATAAACAGCCTTAAAAGCAGTGGAAGAAGAAAATACAGATTGACAGCAGAAAACAAACCTCAAGAATAGACATCATAAAGTCATTTTCCACGGTTGCTATCTTGCCAATGTAAATTGTGGTCTGGGGCTTTTCTGCAGGTGTTACAAAAGCAATAGAAGGTGGTCTGGCCATAGGAGGCATTACGGGACGGAGACCAGGCATTCCAGGCACAGGGGGTCGTGGTGCTAGTTGAACAGCACCGATTGTACCAGGCGGACGCATAATAAACCCAGGACGAATCATTGTTGGATATGGAGAAGGATACCGAAGAATCCCTGCATAAACAAAAACAAGTCTCTAGAAATTCATCAATAAATGTTTACATTGTAATACTCTGAACAGCTGCATTGGCATAAATCAAAAGAATCAAGAAGCAGAACTGAAATTTCATTTTGTATTGTTACCACAAACTAGAGCAAATTAGATATGAACACCACAGGCAGTACAAATACCACCCAGCTGAACAGAGAACCTGAAGGACACATTGAGAAGATAGCACCAGTACCGTAGTCATTATTATTACCACATTAAGTAGTCATACCTCATAGGGCAACTTCAATAGGTAAGAATCTACAATCATCTGATAAATGTTGAACTTGAGATTAAGAAATATTTAAACACCCATCATCACCCACCACAATAGCTTTATATCAACAATTAGCAGCTTGACCAAAGGAAGGAAAATGAAAAAGAAACAAGTGGGAGATGTAACGGAAGGTGTAATTTGAAAGAATTGCAATACCTCAAAACCAAGAGCAAGGATCACTCAGTCGCTAGAAATGCTTGCTGCCGGCAGTTGGCATCAAGTTCAAAGTTCTTAAAACTACAGTAAATCTCAATTTTTACATATAATTGGGGAACGAAGATGAGGCATATCTTTCAAAAACCTTTTGTCAGTGGTTTGGTTAAATTGTGTTAAGAATACTATCTTCAAAGGAGTTACACTAACTAACAAAAATTAAGGAGATAATAAGAAGAACAAAAGCGAATTTGCGCATACCAAAATGAAGGAGTCGTAGAATTGAGTCCCTACCCAATATTTGATGCCTTGCAACCATTCTCACGGAACTCAATCAAGACACTGTATGAGAAAACACCCGGTCATCGGTGTTCCTGTTCTAGTTTTCTCCCTATTTCCTCTTTCAATAATACTTATTTGTACTCTAACCTTTATCCTCATCTAGTTTAAGAATCACATTCAACATAACACAGAAAGCAAAATGCCATGGAAACAAATTCTACAGCCTACAGTGCATCATGGGCGTGTAAAAATCAAATTTTTTGAAAATTAAAAGATAGATAATAGCAGAGAAGGATAGAAGAACCCACCCTGAGGAGGCATGGGACCTGGAGGGGCAACACCATGAATTCCTGGGTAACCATTAGGCATAGGCTGGAAAGGTCTCATACCAGCCTGGTTCGGAGGCTGCCCTTGATACTGAGGCATGGATCCTGGAACCCCCATAGAGTTTACGCCAGGAGGAGGAACACCAGAGCTAGGGTTTTGAAAATTAGCAACGGGAGGGTATTGCATACCAGGACGGAATGGTGGTGGCGGCGGGAGATTGGTGGGAACAAGTGACCCAGGAATCTGAGACGGAGGAGCATAAGGCGGACCAGGTGGAACAGGCTGAACCAGAGCAGCGACTTGCGGTTGCTGCGAATGTTGTTGAGGCGGTGGCGGAGTTGTGGAAGGATTGGGATTTGGATTGGGAATTGGAACCAGAGTAGTGGGTTCTAGTTTCTGCGAATTGAGATCCCCCGTGGCCGGAGAAGAAGAATCGCCGTCGGCCATGGGAGTCTATAGTTGGGGTTAGAACTTGGAAGCTTTGGCAATGGAGTAATGAACTTCGCGGAATCTTAAGATTTTTGTGCCCTAGAAATCACAAACTCCAATTTTAATTACTCGTTTATCTCTCTCTCTTTGTGCGTGTCAAATTACACCAATTTGTTTGGCCAATGTAAAAAAAAAAAAAGATATACGTGTTTGTAGACTATAGGCTCGTTGTTTCCATTTTTTTTTTTTAGGCCGTTGTTTCCATTTTCTTTTCTCTGTTTTTGGGAACGAATCAAATTTTTTTCTTTCTTAAAGTCAAATTTTCTTATATGGTAAATAGAAAGCAAAAACAATAAAATGACCATTAATTCTCGTATGTTTTTTCAAAAACTCATTTAATCTAGAAGTTTATATATTATTAGATAAAAGCCCGCGTAAAAACGCGGGTTAAAATTTATGTTTTCATGTATGAATTAAAAATATTGCATGTATTAAAATTTTGAAAATCATAACATTAACAAAAAAAAAATCAATATTAATTGAATATCATATTTTCTAATATAGATTAATTAAGGCCCGTATAGGGTTGTTTTATTGTACGAATGTTATATCCAAGTATTCAAAAAGAGATAATTTTTAAAGTTAGTAAATTGTTTTTTTGTTGAACAAATTTATTTATGTATTTATATAAAATCGTTATTAAACATTCATTAAAAAAATCTAGTAATGTTAAATTATCGATCACCAAAAAAAATTGTAACCTATTCACCATTTTTCATAATATTACTATTACCAAATTTTTCAAAAAATTAGTTAGATATTATAACATAAACATGATTATACCATTATCCTAAAAATGTTATTTCCTACATTTCCAGTTTTTTAAAAAACTATTCTTGCATATTTTTTTACTTTGCAATTTATTGTATCTCTTAAACTTAATTAATTATTACAAAATTTGATGGTAAAGTTCTTACAAATTAACATCAATGCATAAAAATGAGTTATAGTGTCGTTGAGATGAGCATTAAGAAAAATTTTAAAATATGAAAATATAGAAAATTACATATTTGAAAAAAAAATATTTTAAAAATCATTATACTACTAATTATATTGACTTTTGTTATCCTTATTTTAAGTAAATAATGACTCTTTTTTAGTTCCTAATTTATATAATTTCTTAACACTAATTATTTGACACGTGTCAACATCTTACCAATTCAATTAACACGTGTCACGATCTTGTTAATGACTAACTTTGAAAACCCAACTTTATATAATAAGATATCTTTTCCTCGATAGTCTACCTTATTGTTTAGTACAGTATACTAAAATTTAATCCGCAGTATACCGTGGAACGATATTTTAAAACGTTTTTTTTTTAATTTTGTTTCATATATAAAATTGTAGTACAGACTGACCAAAAAAAAAATTGTACTATTGTATTTTAATTGTTAATTTTATTATTTAACCCGTGTAATATTGCATGACATCTTTTTATTGGTAATTTGATCAACTTAAATAAATAAGTCTGATATTCAAAATACTAAAATGATGTTGACATAACATCTTACGTTTAAATAATCAAATTTCATATTAAAATATTTTGTGGGTTTTACTATAGTAAACACCCCGTAAAAACATCTATAATCATAATTATGTAAATTATAGCTCGTTCTATAACATAACACGTGATTTTTTATACAGCATCATTTTAAAAACGAAGAGATTTTTCTAAAACCCTTTATCAAGAGATCTTCCAAACTGTTGGGGGCCATAGGCTAGAAAGTCTTGTCCAATTGGAAAGATCGTTTAGCAAAGTCAAACAGCTGGCTTGCTACAAGCTGAGCTCAGGGATTGGAACTAGTGTCGATCAGTCGGTGGAACAATCGTGCTAACAATTATCAATAAAATTTTAGTACATACATTTTTTGTATCGTTTGAGTGATATACGTCCATTTTTAAAATTAAATTGCAACATATGAAAAAAAATTATTATGCATATATTTTATGTAATAATATAATTTTTCTAAAAAAATAAGATCATATAAAGATATTGAATAAATATTTGATTTATCAGGGAGATATTTTAGGAAATTTTGTTAAATATAATAAATATTGCTTTCTAGTTTTGCAATTTTATCATGATTTAATTACATAACTTACCTTAAATATTTGTTATTTATTTAAAAGACAAAGGTTTAATTATGCAAATATTACAAAATGAAAGGTTATAAGTTAAAAGGTACTTCAAAATGGTAATATAGATATGAAAATTTAAAATTTGGGTAAACTTTAAAGAAAATGACTAAGAAGTCTCAAAGAAGAGGATCTCATCTAATTATATTGAAAATATATCAAAATTATTTTGACTATATATAGATTAATTTCATTGTTCTGAATTGAGTTATCCATGGTTATTTTTTTGGTTTTTTCTAATAAATTTATTTTACTTATAATTTTTTGTTGGTATTTTGATGGGGTTCATGTGTTTCATAACTAAGACAGTAGCATGTCAATTAGCATTATAATTAAAACAATAGATAAGTTAATATCACTGTAATTTATATGATCCTAAAAATTTATATGATCTTGCCTCCGCATATTCATATCTTGCCTCCGCATAAACAAAAACAAGGTGGTGTAGTTTTATACATCATACTCATTGTTTTATTGTAGAAAACTATATATATTATCAGATGGTTAGATTTGTAACTAAAGTTTTGAATTGCGAAAATAGAGCATACGATCCACAACGAACGGATATGAAAAGGGAATGCAGCTCAAGTGCGAAGGAAAAATGGTTATGTTTGGAATGTTTTCTATCAAATCCGAACAGTTATATTCAAACGGTTTTCTTGACCGTTTGTTACCGCGTAAAATATAATACTATTTTAAACATTGACTATCTTATATTTTCGAAGAGCAAATCTAAGCTAAGATTTTGAAAACCTAAATTAATGTTTTGGGAAAACTAAATATTTCCATTACACATTCCCAATCTGTGAACAAATTAGAAATCACCACCATATAATAGACAAGCAAATAATTTCTCAAATTATCAAAATTTTAAAATGAGAACAGAAAGTTTTTTAATTTTTGTTTTGTGAAGAAGAGAGAAGTCTCTTTAATATTAAACTAGTGAAAAAATAAAACTGATAAGTGTAAGGATTCTGAAACAAAAAGAGACAAATGGGCGATTGAGAGAAGAAATGGCGAAGAAGAAGGAAGAAGAAGTAGTAGTAGACGTCGATTGTTCCGAGAAGAATGATTTTGTGATTGATTGGGATTCAGCCATGGACAAGGAACAAGATGAACTCCCTGAGTTGGAGATTGTTAACACCAAATCTCCGCCGCCAACGTTTCTCTCCGACGATCAGATTGATTCTCAGAAAACCCTAACCGATCGTGACATCGACGACCAGCTGGACCGTAATAAATCGCTTCTTGTCACATTAGGTCCGAGCTTACCCGACAAGGGTGAGAAAATCCGCCTCAAAATCGTCAGCCTCCAGGAGGAGAAGCAGCGTAGGGTTCTACAGCGCTCGCGAATGGTTTGTCATTTACACTTTAATGGGTTTTGAAAGCTTTTGCTCACTTGTTGACTACATTTTTTATGAATTTTTAGTGTTGTTTCTCTCATCTTCTAAGCTAGAATTGAGCTCATTTATGTTTATGAATCATAGTCATGGTGACTACTATGCATTAATCATCTGGAATTTTATGTAACACTTAGGAGATTTTGTGATAGAGACTTTTATTTTGGCAGGATGTGGATAGAAGTTCCAAGCCCATGCAATCGACAAGCTCAGGTGTTCTTGGTGGGAAATGTTAGAGTTTGTTTGCTTCTAATTAAATTGATTAAGTTCAATGCATATTGCTTACCTCAGTGTCTTATTTTTCTGTAGGTTCCGATGTCTTAACCCAAAGGAATGCAGCCTCAAATGGCACCTCTAGACAAGGGAATACAGACTCAAAAGAAACCTCCAGACAAGGGAACACAGACTCAAAAGAAAATTCTAGACAAGGGAGTGCAGACTCAAAAGAAGTCTCACGGTCAACTTTTGCTGCGGTTTTTAGTAAACCAAAAGTATGGAGACTCTACATTTTGCCAGTTCAAAACTGTTTTAGATAGCTACTTGTTCATGATACTACTTTGCAATTTGTGTTCAACAGACAGATACTCAGTCAAAGAAAGCGTTTGGTAAAGAACTAGAAGATTTGGGATGTGAAAGTAGGAAACACAAGGCTGATAGAAGGCCCGTAACAAGGCTGAGCAACGGGTGGCGGATGTTGTCAGATATAGGGAAAGTTGAGCACGGTGAATCGCAGCTTAATTCTGGATTGAAAGGATCAAGTGGTAATCGGAAATTCAAGGAAGCTTATGGAAAGAAAAAGCCCAAGGAATCTTCCACTTATTCTCTGCTTGATGATGATGATAACAACCCCATTGGCCATGGAACTCCTAGGTCCATATTTTTTCTCCATTTCCAACTGTTTCTGCTACTAGTTTCTTTTTTTTTGTAAAGGGTTCCCAAGTATACCACCTGTGCTAGTACTATTTTGTCGTGACATACTGTTCTAGTACACAAGAGTATGAGTTGTATCGTAATCGCTCAACGTCTTTCTTTCATAGGGAGTGGCATTGGGAAGAATATCCATCACAGAGTTCAAAGCGCTGCAAGGTATTCTTGCTTACTCCTATAACCATATATCATGAAATTGCATTTCTTGTGCAATCATTATCGTCCTAATATATTTACTCCAGCAGAAGCATGGCTCATTTTCTAAGAAAACTTCGGTTATGTCCCAACAGACAATTTTACGAATTCCTTACGCAAAACATCAACTTTCGACCAGTTAATTGCTCTCTAGATAAACTACAGAGCTGTGCTGTTTAAATAGATCTATACTTAGCTTCCTACTGGGCTATGGCTATGTTTTGGCTTGTTAATGATTGTTACTCCAACTCATTTGCTGTGTTTTTGTTCAACTAATTGATGATATTTCCCCAAACAAAACTACAGAAATTAGATGATACAGTGATAAATGTGGATGAAGAAGAACATCAACCTTTAATGACGGAGGAGCAAGCAGATGAACTACCTGAAGGGTAAAAATTACCTATTTTCTTTTAGCCTCATCACATTACAACTGGTTGTATATAAACTAATAGGTGATGATTACTGCAGCTTAAAGGAAGAAATATGCTACCCATCAAGGTAAATTCTATGTCAAGACTGATCTAGGGTAACTTACTGTATGTTTGTAACCCTCAAAAATATTAATACTTGGTATCCAGGGACGATCCAAACTTTGTTCAAGTTTGTCTTAAAGATCTTGAATGCCTTGCGCCTCGAGAATTTCTAACATCGCCTGTTATGAATTTCTACATCAGGTACTTTTGGAGTGTTAGACTTGCGATATATTATATCGTATATTAATTGCATGATTATCTATGATTTTCCCCCTGTGTTTTTTTTGGCTAGGTTCTTGCAGCAGCAGATATCATCATCGAATGAAATTTCTGCTGATTGTCATTTCTTTAATACCTATTTCTACAAGAAGCTCAATGAAGCTGTTGCATACAAGGTAATTTTAAAAATGTGATCCTTAGAAAATAATTCTCAGTTGGCATTCTTGCATTTCACATTTTTATCTTGTTGCTTATATCACTGGTCTATTTGTCTTGTCCTTTCAATATAATAGGGGAATGACAAGGCTGCCTTTTTTGTGAAGTTCAGGCGGTGGTGGAAGGGGATCGATATATTCCGTAAAGCTTATATTTTTATACCAATACATGAAGAGTAAGCTCTTTTCCTTTAGCACTGTAATTTTAGCTTTTTTGAGAAAAACCTGAACTTATTTCAATGGCCACTGTCATTTTAAACAGAACCTGCGTCTGTCTTTGTGATGGAGAAATGTTATGCGCTTTGCAAATCTTTAGATTAAGGTTCTAAAGAACTTATCTATTCACTATTCAGCATGATTCTTGTACCATGTTTCAGTCTCCATTGGAGCCTTGTGATAGTTTGTATCCCAGATAAGAAAGATGAATCGGGAATTACTATACTTCACCTGGATTCATTAGGACTTCACTCGAGAAGATCAATTGTTGAAAATGTAAAAAGGTGAGATGCCCCTGAGCTTTTCCTGTGACTTTATCATTTTTGACGTTGTATGCATATGGTTTCAATTCATAAAAGGAAAAAGTTATTGCATTAGCCTTAAAATGCAGATACCACATACACTAAATTCTGTGTCAACTTGTTACAGATTTCTAAAAGACGAATGGCATTATTTGAATCAAGATGATAATTCCTCGGATATACCAATCTCTGAAAAAGTATGGAAAAGCCTCCCCCGTAGGATCAGCGAAGCTGATATTCAGGTCAGTCGTTTACCTTCTTAACTTTGTTAGATGGTTTCTTCTGAAATATGACTATTATATAGAGACTAGAGCCTCACAAGAAGATCAACTCGTCGTATGGTTTTCTCTTTGTCCAACCAGGTTCCTCAACAGAAGAATGATTTCGACTGTGGTCCGTTTGTTCTCTTCTTCATTAAACGGTTCATTGAAGAGGCACCTCAAAGGTTGAAAAGGAAAGACCTGGGAATGGTGAGTTATCTCAAACTCTGTTCCTGGTACCAAATCCCCATATCTTCTGCTTACTCAAAACTTTTTTCCTGCTACCAAATCACATATCTCAAACTCTTTTCCTGATAGCAAATCACCTATATTCTGCTTACTCTTGTCTGAACTTACGTGTTTCAATTCTTCCAGTTCGACAAGAAGTGGTTTAAACCCGATGAAGCCTCTGCTCTAAGAATCAAAATCCGAAACACACTCATCGAGCTATTTTGTGTCAGTGACCAGGCAGACCAAACCAGTACATAATGCAGCATTCAAAGGTGTCACTTGTCAGTGACCAGACAGGCCAAACCAGTACAGATAATGCAGCATCCAAATCAAGACATAGCTCACTGCTCTAACAGAGTTCAACTTTTTTGTTGTATAGACTTTTAGGCATAAGTACTATTATTTGAGTCAAAGTTAAATTAAAACTTGTGATGGTTAAATAATCTAACTTATAATTTATAAGGGAAAATGATCTCTGTTCCCCCCCCCCACCCTACCTTACTCTACTACTACTCT